TGGAGTAGAAATGAGGGAAGAAGTTTGTCAGTGATTGCACACACAGAGACATTGTGGACTATATATTTTTGTAATGGTTGCAACACAGTTTAGAAGGCAAGCACTGCTGATGACTCAAAAGGAGAAAAAGAAAATAAAAAAGAATATCAGTCTGAGAGTTCAGTCTCACTACAACACAGTGGGGAGCTGTTAGAACCACTACATCATATATCAGCATGTTGATCCTGATGAATCTAAAGCTGCTTCTTCACACAGCAGGCCCCACTCTTATCACCAAGTCAACTCACCAGTGTGCGTCCTGATGTGTCCCTGGAGCAGCCACGGTCTGGAGAAAGCTTTCCCGCATATTTTGCAAACACAAGGCAAGGTGTGAGTCCTGATGTGCATTTTGAGAGCCCCCAGGCTAACGTACTCCTTCTCGCAGTATTTACAGCTAAAGGATTTCCTCGTTTGGGCGTCGCAGTGCAGCTGCTTGTGCTTGAGCAGTCCAGAGTACGTGGAGTAGGATTTACTACACAAACTGCACTGGAATTTCTCTGCCTCAACTCCGTGAGGGTCTGTTAGCTTGGGCAGCATCTGCTCGTCTTCATCGCTCCTCGGGCTCTCGGAGCCGCTGTGGTCTTTAGAGGAGGTGTCGGAGAGCGATGAGGGGTATCCAGAGATGGGAGAGAGGTCACTGGGGAGCGGAGATAGCGGCAAGTTGCTGGTAGTCCACACTGTGATGGGGCTGTACGCCGCCGGGCTCAGGATCTCTGGCTGGGGGATGACTGACAGGGGAAGAGCCTTGTAGATGTGCGGTGTGATGAACACTGGAAAAAAAAGACAGCAAGGGTTATGAGATGTTTGGCTGTCATGACTTCAGTGAAAAGCACAGATTTCAAAGCAGGTAGTCCAGTGAGTTTGAAACGAAACTAACTTCTGCAAAGTTAAAAAAACAAAAAAACATGAAACGCGTCTGCCTGTGGGAAACACAACTTTTTAAACTTTTTAGAAAGTGAACACTGCTGCTTTATTTCTAAAAACAAAAAAACATCAAACGAAACTTTACCTGCTGGGCTTTCCAACTCACTATAATTTGGCTTCTTTGCGGAGTTTATGTGTTTCTTGACCAGAAAGGAGCGTGGCATCTTGGAAAACAAGAAGTCAACTTTTGGCAAACTTTTTTTTTTAGTTCTTAGTAAAAAGGAGATGAGCGTCAGTTTGCTGCGCGAAGACGGAAATCCTTATTGCTTAAGTCCAGTGGAGTGTCATCCTGCGTCGCTGCGCACTTGGAAACAGTGTAGCTGTAAAGAGCTGTAAATACTGCCTATCAGGTGCATGGGAGGAGCCACCGACTGCTATTTACATAAACTGGAAGCTCAAACCAATTACATTTCGTGTGTACCGCTGAACTGCAAAATGCGCGTGTAGCCTATGGTAGTGCTTGCACACCCCTAAGGGGCTGGGCTAGTGCCATTTATTCCAGTAAGACAGGTGCTTTGTGCATAGATGTGCAAAAACTTGGTTGTGATTCAAGCGTGCAAGTGGGTTAGTTAAGTGCAGTGAGATGAGGAAAAGGAGCAGAGTATTTTTTTTTTTAAATATCGAAGTAACGAAAGAAAAGGAATTAGGACTTCAGGGTGACATAGATTAGCTACTTAAAATGCCATCGCTAATGCAATCACTGCACGGAGTGTGCACAGTGTCACTGATGATTGTTGTGTTATAAACCTCTGGGGACTTGATTATCCTTTATGGGTGGCATGCTTGAATTGGGGGAAGCTCCCACCAACACCAGCATGCATAATAATGTTGATGATGATAATAAATGGCTTGAAGGGAAAGGGGAGGTTTATAGTGCACACACATATTTATATATACATGTTTATTAACCAGGCAAGTGATTCCAGGAGAGTGCAAACCATCGAATGGCAAAACTGCATGCTGCCATCCACATTCTCATTCACTGGCTAAGGCAAAGAGTGGTCCCTTTCTAATGCAGTTTTCTGCGGGGAAAGCCACACATTTCCTTGCCAATAATGCAATAAGGCATTCATCCTTTAAATGTAAATTTAAGTGTAGTTCCCTCTCAAGGTCAGCATCATACCATAATCAAATTTATCCCTGCTGCTGCTGAACTGGAGAGGGAGAGGCAAACTTAGCAGTGTACGCCCCCTTGTGTTGGAGTCAGTTCTAAGAGACAGGGTGTGAGTCTTACATCTAAACTAACAGGGCAGGAAAAAAAAGAAAGCCACAAAGGCAAAGGCTTAGCTATGGTGATATTGAAAAGCAGCTCCTGGAGCACTTTGATTGGCTGGGTCAGCAGATATGAAAAGCTCCTTATGTCTGGGGCAAGCCTTAAGTTAATTGTGAACTGCTTATCTTATCTAGAAAACATAATTGCAGATCATGAATAGTTTCCCTTTGTGCCTGCTTGGATTATAAAGGGAAGGGAAGGTTATCTGTGCATAATAACTCCCGGCTACTGTCACACATTCAGCACTCTGTAGGCACGTAGGATGGGTGAGAAATGGTGGTGTTTGGTGGTGATCCAGCAGAAAACATTGTGCACTGTAGAAGGTAATGCTTTGAAATCAATATTACCCAGCAAGCAAGTGAAGCACTGCGTGCATGCTTAGGTGAAAAATGTCTCCTTGCAGTTTTCATGCTTCAGTTATGTTCTCTGCATTCAGAGCATGAGGATGCTGTTCTACTGACAGTAATGAAGGAGGGTGGGCAGAAGCTCGGGGCTCAACTGAAATCATATCACTAATTCTGAAAAGCAGAGGCTGTACTTCATGAGCTCTAAAATTAATTAACGGAGAGGAAGCCTTGAATCCTTGGCCCTACATTATGTCAAATCAGGACAGTGTAACGCCAGCAAAATAAATAAATAATTAAATGTGCTCAGTTAAAATGTGAACAGGACCGTGTGGTCAAGCACAGGTGTTTTCTGCCACACAGTCATGTTTTTCATTGCAGTTGAGTGCGATCCATCAGGACAGTGCAGGTTCAAACTGTTTTCCCAGTGTCACGTTTTCATATCACAACCAAAGAATTTTCCCCAGCAAATAGGAAACGATCAATGACTCTCATCACATTTGAATTCAAATTCAATTTCCAACCAGTGCACGAATATGTTATCACCATTTTCCTAATGAGCCTTTCCCACTTTGGACCAGTGAGGAGAGCACAGACGAGAACACGTACGCACGCACAGAAACCTCTCATGTGAAATAACTGCAGCTGTCCTCGTTTTGGCACATAACTGTCTGTTCGTGCAGACCCTCATCGCTCATAGTAAGACGCTGATTAAGAAAATGGGTATAGATCCATTGCTCCACCTTTGTTGTTGTTGTTGTTGTTTTTTTACAGTCCAGTTTTTGATGGTGTACCTAAAATGCAGATTAATCGGACACAGCGGCCAATTTTTCTTGATTTTAAAGTCTTTAGGGAGTGGCATACATTGAAATAACTTGTATGGCCTGCCTGCTAAAGCAGTAAAGCTGAGTCAGCTGCCATAATAGTTATGACAGAATTACTGCAAGTGATGGTGGAAAGTCTGAATTTTTAATGACATAGCCAAAGAAACTGTAAGTCAAATAGATTAAAGTTGTAATGAGGTCAAAATATCTCCAAGGCTTCTGTTGGGACCTACCTGAGGAATATATAACAACATTAGTAAAGGTGTGAATTAGCTTTGGTGATAATGGATCACAGTTAAGCTTTTGAGGAGGACAGCCTTACTGCTGAAGACACCTATAGAGGCTGCTGTTGTATAGTGAAGTGTGAAGTCAGTGAGCACTTCCATTTATTATCTCCCAATCACACGTCTCCCCTTGGCATAGAGAACCAAGAGAGCAGCTGCAGGTTGCTGCAGCAGTACTGTGCCGTCCAGTGCAGCAGGTTTTGACCCTTAATTAACAAGCCTTAATTAACAGGCTGGAAATCCGGTATATGTGGACTTCAGACTGGAATGTGGTACGAGTGCTGCACAGTTTATGAGTAAGTGCTGCCCGAGAAGGCAGCTTGAAACGTCAGAGGAGTCAACTTGCTTCATGTGGGGAAACAGCGGGATCTTTCAGCTGGCATGATGACAGCATGGAAAATAAGGAGCACCTGGTCAGCCTGCGCAGCTGCTCACGAGAGGGCCTGAGGGAGAGAATCCAAATACTACCAAGTGACTGAATGCATATACAGTGTGTGTGTATGTGCATGTGCTCACTGACAGCAAAAACTGAGTCAGTGTCTGACTGTGCAAGACTGAGAAAATCCACCCATGCCTTTTTTCCCTTTTATAAACCATTCAGCTCAGAGCATTGTAACTCACGTGCGCCAATCATTTTTAAGAATGGTCTACACATGTAAGCAGACATGAAATTATGTTTTTCTTTTGGTCATCTGCACCAGGGCATAGCTTGGTAGAAAAATCTATCAGAAACCTGACCCTTTAATCTAAGCCTAACCTTATCCTGACCACAGCTTCAATCTAAAAAAATCAGTGATTCATGTCAAAGGGGCTTGCAAATCTTAGCCAGATCCCCACAATGTGACAGTTTGGACAGATTTATGTCTGCACAACATGTGCAATACTAATAAACACACACTTTTGGATTGTAGTTTCCAAATAATGAACCAAATACTAAC